CCTACTGGAATTCGTTTACCCGGATTGTTGAGTAACATGTATGATTCAGATTATTTTCAAGGGAGAGCAATTCTTGCACCAACTAATGAATGCGTCGAGTTTGTGAACGATCACTTAATGTCTCTCCTTCTAGGAGAGGAGAAGGTGTACCTGAGCTCAGATAGTATGTTTAGGGACGAGCAAACAATGGAGGATAATGCAGAAATTTATTCGACTGAATTCCTCAACACAATAAGATGCTCCGGACTTCGTTCTCATGCGTTGAAGTTCAAGATTGGTGCACCCGTTATGCTAATAAGAAACATCGATCAAGCTAAAGGATTGTGTAACGGGACCAAACTTCAAATTATTAGAACTGGCATTCACGTTCTGAGTTGCAAAATTCTTTCCGGAAAAAATATCGGTGACATGGTGTTCATTCCTCGGATGACTTTAATACCATCTACCGGACTGCGAATTAAATTTCAGAGAAGACAGTTTCCGTTGATTGTTTCTTTTGCAATGACAATCAATAAAAGCCAAGTTTCAAACTCTTTCGCGTGTTGGTTTGTATCTTCCTAAGCATGTCTTCAGCCATGATCAACTATATGTTGCACTGTCCAGAGTTACGAGCAGAGGTGGCATTAAAATATTCATCAAGTTGGATTCGGGTGAACTAACCAATATTACTACAAATGTCGTGTACAAGGAAGTATTTCATCGTATTTGAAGGTAGATAATATTTTCATATTTACCAATTATTCATGTAACATGTCTTTTTTTTAACAACTTATTCTTTGGCAGGTGTTTCTTCTTTATATAATTTTCCCCGTGCGATGTTATTTTCAGTCATGTCCCTAGGATGCTCAGTGCAAATTTTATTATCTTTAAGATTTATTTTTGACGATATACTAATATTTAATATTATTCTTATGATGTAACTATGAAGAACATGATGCTTCAATATTGCTGGTCGCGTTTTGTATTTAAATTCAATGAGCGTAATAATTTATATATGCTTAAATTTATTTTTCAGACATGTATTTCCAGTTGAAAATATGCCACCCCGTGCATCGCACGGGTGAATACTAGTTAATCTTAACACAAAATTCGTAGTCATTGACCCAAATAATATAAGCAAATATTTCTTGCTTCGTGGTTAAGGTGAGCAGGTGAGCAGCCGAGTATGTGATAAATTGAATATAGTCATTGGTCAACACCCTTGACAATATAAAATTTAAATTTAGTATCCTATATAAAAAAATATTTAAAATATTTTAGTATTCTATATTACAAAATTAATGTATATAATATTCTTTTTTTGATATTATAGGTGAATACTGAAACGCAATGTTTGAAATTCACCGAGAACAAGTTTTTCCATTTTGATTTCCGAATTTTTCGGAACGTTATTGAATTTAGTTCATCACATTCAATTGTTTCTCATAAATGATAATCTCGATAATTCCCATTTTTACTAATTTTTTTATAAGTATTTCATTAACATTATGTATTTTCATTTGGGATCATTACAGATAAGCCAGATACTTATTCATAAAGAGATTCAGACAAAAAACTCATTAACCAATAAGTCCACACATGGTCCAGATTTTTGTAAAAGACTGAAATAACCCCTCATACTTTAATATGCTCCAATTTCATCTTTAACTTAATTTAACCTTAATATGACCACAAATTTCACAAATTATTCAATTTTGACCGAATTTTTTTTTTCCAAAAAAAAAATTTTCAAATTTTTTTTCTGCCGGATTCCGGCGTTGACTTTTAATTTTTTTTTCTTTTTTCTTTTTTTTTTTGCTTCCGGATTTTTTCGCCAGTTTCTGGCGTTGACTTTTTCGATTTTTTTTCTTTCTGTAACATTTTTTTTCCGTTTAAACAGCAATATTGTTGTGATTGCCAGTAATATTAACTATATTACTGTTAGACACAGTAAAATTAACTAAACTACAGTTTAACACAGTAATATTGCTATATTAATCTCTAACACAGTAATATTAACACAACAAAACTCATTATTATTGTGTAATAGAGTAATATTACTATGTTGACCGTTTAACAAATGTTAACATAATAAAAAACCAAAAGAATTAATACTACTGTGAGTGACAACAATATTTCTATAACAACAATAATATTATCGTCAACCACAGTAATATTACAATAATAGATACTAATATTATTACGTTACTCCGTGAATAACTCAAACAAAATAAAAAACCCAAAAAAATTATAATATTGATGTTGTTGACAGTAATATTATTGTGTTTACAGTTATTTTACTGTAAACGACAGTAATATAATTACGTTGACTTGTCAACAAATCAAACAAAATAAAAAAAATAACAAAAAAAAAATTACGTTAATTACGTTAATTTACTGTCAACGGCAGAACAATTACATAAATGTATTGTCAACGGCAGTACAATTACGTTAATTAACTGTCATTGACAGTATAATTACGTTAATTTACAATCAGTGGCAGCACAATTACGGTCAACATTTAGCGGCGGACGTAAAAAAAAAAAAAAAAAAAAAACCAAAAAAAGTCAACTCCGGAGACCGGCGAAAAAATTCGGTAGAAAAAAAGTCAAAATTGGATTTTTGTGTTCAAAATTAGATTTTCGTGGACAAAATGGATTAAATTGGGGTTATAATTAGGAATTGGGTATAAATGGTTGGGGGTAATATTAGCATATACATGAAAGTTTCCTTTATTTATAATAAATATTAAAATTATGGACTTATTGGTAAAAGATATATAACCCCTAAACCTAGAATAATAAAGATATTTGGTTGGAGACTTATGCACAGAAAAACCCGTTTCATTTTTAATATGAAATTAGAAAATTAGATTTTGTGATATGGTGCGTGTGCATATTCCAAAAGTTTAGGGTGTGAAAGCAAATAAAGGTGGCAATTGATGCAAGTGATGACGAATCAAGACGCCGTCTCGGTCAACAAAATCATCTTAATAAAAAAATAGATAAAAATATATGGACCTACATATGAGGCTCAAATTACCAATTTGGGTCTGGACCATTGTTTCTTTTAATCTTATTTAGAATATTTTAAATTGAATCAATCGTTGTAAAAATTAATTTGTTCGTCATGAAATCAAGGGTGGAAAAAGAGGTCAATTGCCATTTATCATGGTAAATGTCACAGGGGTTTCTTTAATCAAGAAATTTTCGCCCGTGCGGCCTGATTTGCCCACCAAATCAGTCAGTCTTCCTCTCGATTCTCTTCGTACATAACGCACAAACACAAGTCTTTTAAGCCTACGTAAACGAGAACAAGAGTATGCAGCGGAAAACAACACAAAAGCACGTTTACGAGCAATGCCCAACCTTTATATTAATTTCCCACAAAAAATACAAAAGAGACTAAGGTGCACACACAAAATCCTCACTGAGAATGCCCACAATTGCAATCTGAACTCTCTAATGCTAGATGAGTCGGATTTGTGCACTCATAGCCCTATAAATACAAGGAAAAAGGTAGTTTTCACATAAAACAACCTAAGGACACTTGGCAGCATACTTGCTTGACACTTGGCTAACTATTAGAAGTAATAAGGGGCAGTTTTTCACGCTTTCCAGGCCTCAACCGCTCCGCAACTTCCCTCAAAACCGCCCACAAGTCTGGTTTTCGAGGCCCATCTTGATCGGGCGCGCGCGAGCGCACCAAACGGCCCAAAGCAGCCCGGCCGGTTGCTAGGCAGCCCATCTGCCTTGCCTTTTCTGCACATTTTGCCCGCCTTGTCAATTACTTGTCAGTTCTTTGCCCACATGGTCATTAGCACGCCCGCACATCGGGCTGCCTTCCTTGACTTGCCAATCGATCGTGCCAACTTGGCCACACTTGTCAAGTCGTGGTCGATTTTCTTCGAACGTTCGCTTGCCCAAGTTCTCGGCCACATGCCGATTACTGCCCACGCTTGTCCGCATTCACTGCCGAGCAACGCCCGTTCCAGCCACAAGTACTTTCGATCACCGTTCCCACTTGAATCAAGCCGTCCTTGCTTTCTCGGACAAACACCCCGAATGCTTGCCCAACACTCGACCACTCATTGGCCGATTGTGTGGCTGTCTTGTGTCAATCCTCACTTGGCACCATTTCTCGGCCATGACTCGACCACACTTGAGTCATAGCCGATGTCACCGACTAAGGGGTAACAGTAAACCAATTGAAAATTACGGAAATATTACAAAATGAACAGTTACCAATGCGTTCATACAATATTAGTATTGTACCATTACATTGTGGGACCGTAGCGAGTATTGAATTTCTAATATCACCGATGAATCATAATTATAGTATATTAAAGACATAAATCAACTGTGCAATTCCTTTTCGTGAAGATATGAAACACCTGCTCAATATTCTTATTAGACTCTCGCACGCACGAGTTACTTTTTTCTTGTACAAAATTGAATTGGACAAGTCCTTAGATGTGGAGAAAAAAAAAGTTTTTGTATAACACCATCCAATTCTATCTCTATATGATTAGTGGTAGAATACCACGTACCAACCATACTGTAAAGAAAGTAACAATATACAACAATTTTAGTACAGTAACGGTTCATGTAATATTAACACCGAATAATACGGCGGCTGGTACACGGGATTGAGCAATATGTTTGACAACAGTACCGAATCCACCCCTAAATTCAAATACATAAATTAACTTATACACAATTTTTTTTTTACTAAATTAGAAATTCTCTTATTTCCTAGTTGAAATTAATATTGTTTTGAAGTTCATCAATAACTTTATTAATCAAGTAATGAATTATGTATTGTTTTTCCATTGACCAACAAATAAAATTACACCTTTTGTTTTGTTTTATAGTATAAATAAAAATCCCAACATAATATAATTTCACAAAGTTAAATTAAAAAAAGAACCAAGGGGCATATATGTACTTTCACAGTAAGAGGCTACCCCACAATCAGCTTCATCAAACAGTAGTGACGAATTTATCCTTTTATTAAATCCTAAATCCGATCTCGTTGAATATTTTCCCATCCAAAACCCGCCTCCACCCATCCAGCGATTCCTCCCCTTTCTCCGGGGAAGCTCCGCCCTATCGCCGCCGCACCACCTAGGGTTTAGCTTTTTCCGAACTATGCACCCCAATTCCTCCCCATCTCACTACCCTCCCCACTGATAAAACCCTACGGCTCAATTACCCCCCTTTTTTCCCCTCCGATTAATCGGCGATCTCTTCTCTTCTGATGACATCATTTCTCTGGTAGGGCTCTCGCTCCTCCGTAAAATTTCACATCTTCGTTTGAATTTGAATTTCCGCCGCCATGGCGATCCGATTCACCGTGAACTTCTCGGCGTCCGTCGCCTCAAACATTGCCGCCTCCTCTTCCACGGCGTCCAGTAAATGCGCCGCCTCTCGGTTCTTCCAGGAGTGCGCTTCCAGATCCAGATTCTTCCAGCACCCGCCCTCGCAGAAGCCCGACTCCGACTACTCCGACTTCCGCCGCCCCAAATCGAAGCCGAATTCGGTCTATTCGTCTCTTGCCGGGGAAGTTCTCGGCGGGCAGGCGCAATGTCCGGTTGTTATGGGATTGATCTCTCTGATGAAGCAGTCGATCGGCTCTTCTTCGAATTCGACCGTTTTAGGGATTTCCCCCATCAAGGCATCGACAATCCTTCCTTTCCTCCCCGGTTCGAAGTGGCTACCGTGCAACGAATCCACGAGCACGGATGTCGATAGAGGAGGCGCTGCTGTTAGAAGTAGCTCTGCCGCCGCTAGCAGCAAGGAAGTAACCGTCGAGACCAAGATTGTCAATGGTGGTGGTAGCAGTAGTAAGGGTAATGCTAAGGCTAAGGGTAAGGCTAAGGGTTTGGAGGGGGAGGCGTTTGCCATGGCAAAGAATATTGATGCGCCGAGTCCTACACTGAATCTTACGCCACCTCGTGGCGGAATCGGTAGCGGAATCAATAGCAGTAGTTGGTTGTTGAAAGTGATGAACATGTGTTTCACCTCTGAGGAGGCTAAGGCGGCTTTCACTGCTTTCAGCGTAAGCATTTTGTTTAAGTCGACTTTGGCGGAACCGAGGTCGATTCCCTCCACTTCTATGTACCCAACTCTTGATGTAGGCGATCGTGTTCTAGCCGAGAAGGTAATAGATTTACAACTTGGCTGAAATTTTGTTGATTTTAAGTGCCATTTAATGGCTTTTTAGTTTTTACTTTTCGAGTAGCATGAATAGGTTTTTAGTTGGTGATTGCTGTAGTTATAAGTGAATTGTGTAATCTTTAGTCTATCAATTGGTGTTGTGTACATAGATGAAAAACAAGACCTTTGTTTTGCTGAAGTATATATATATATATATATATACAATTTCGTAATAAAGCAGTAGGTTTGATCAAGATGTTCGTGTCCGATGCATTAGTATCATAGTTTTAAGTGAATTATGTATACAGTAGAACCTCGATAAATTAATAACCTCACGTAAATAATAATCTCTCCCCGTCCGACTCGGTGGCAACGTGCTAAATAATTAATTTGATAATTCAATAATCCTCTAAATTTATAGAATTTTGCTTGTCCCATATGTATTAATTTATATAGGTTTAACTGTATTTCCTGTATGTTGGTTTCTTTACATATCCGACGTGTCTGTACTGTATGTAGGGGTTATAGTATTTCTTTTAAATTAGTGTTCTTGAGAAAGCCTTTCGAATCTGTAACTCTCGGAAAAACAATGACATAAATAGTATGAAGGGTCTACTCATTTGTTTGCATGGCCTAAGAGAATTTGTTTTTGAGCAATTACGTATTTTTCAGTTTTTATTGAGCCATAAAATGGTAGTAGAAGATTGTAACTAGTTGCAAGATGTTAGGTTCCATTTTCTTCTGTAAACGCGGGCTTCATCCTTCAACGTACATAAGTAAGTGTTGATGGTGTGGATATAATATTAAATTTCCAGAATGCTGATGTAGTTCTACCGAGCTTTCATATGAGAGAACGGCTAATTCTTATGGATTCTTGTTCTTTTGGTTGATTCCCAGGTATCGTATATTTTTAAGAAGCCCGAAATCTCGGACATTGTGATTTTCAAGGCTCCTTTAATTCTTCAGGTACCTTTAGAATTGGGTGCTTGCATCATTTATATAATAGTTGCTTCCATAGCCATGATTAGTGATGGAGTTGACTTTGTTATTGTCTGTTTGACCTTCTCTGCAGCAAATTGGTTTCAGTCCATCTGATGTATTTATTAAACGAATTGTAGCGAAAGCTGGTGACTATGTAGAAGTAAGTAGTTATCAACTGGTGTTTGAATCTATTTAGCTTCTGTCACACATCTTATCGGAAAATCTAAAATATGCCTTGTTACAGGTTCGTGGTGGGAAATTGATGGTCAACGGTGTGGCTCAAGACGAGGATTTTATCTTGGAGCCACTCGACTACGAAATGGATCCAGTGGTAATTATTTTGTGATCGTTATTTATTATTTTATAACGAGGCGAAAGCATATTAAATTATTACACTTTTTTTCTATAGCTTGTTCCGGAAGGCTACGTGTTCGTATTGGGAGACAATCGCAATAACAGCTTCGACTCACATAACTGGTAATCACATATATATCGCGGAAGTTTGTATTCTTTCGTGTTAAAGTTTTGAGGTGAAATTTTGATATTCTAAATACCGGTTGAATTTTTAATAAAATTTTCAGGGGTCCACTGCCTATAAGAAACATTGTTGGTAGATCGGTCTTTCGGTATTGGCCTCCGTCGAAAGTATCGGACACTCTGTACAACACATCCCAGCAGAAGAGTGCTGTTGCATTTGCCTGATACTTTTCGCCCTCCTGATTTTTGTAGTGTTTTATTTATCTAGTTTGTTTGTTAACAACTCCTAGTTCCTGTAAAAAAAAAATTGAATCTTTATACTCATAGTGTACTTGAGCGTTTTTATTATTTTTTATATATTTATTTATAATTTTTTTAAAAATGATGGCTGCCATGGCTGTTTCCAATATAAACATAAATGCATAATAGTGGCTGGTTTTGACTTCGTTTTATTTTTTCTTTCTATAATGAATCATTTTCTTGTACAGTACATTTATCATTAGCCTCTCTCTCTCTCTCTCTCTCTCTCTCTCTCTCTCACACACACACACACACACACACACACACACACACACACACACACACACACACACACACACACACACATAAATCTGTGGTGCTGATGGAGCTCAGGTTCTTGGGGAGGATGAAGATGGTAGGAAAACACTGTCTTCTTTCAGAGGAGCTCAACAATGGTGATTGGTAAGCCATTTTTTCGCCTACTGTAAAGTATGTTTTTTGTATATACACACTCATGCACTTAAACTTCTATAAATTAATACAATTGGGACGGACAATTCTATTAATTTATTGGAATATTAAATTTTATCGAATTAATAATTTAGTACGTTGTCACTGAGTCGGGACCTGGAGAAATTATTCTTTATACTGTAGTCTTTATAAAGGTACAATATTTCGATATATCAACCTCTGCCACTTGAATGAATCAATTACAAAATTTTCATCATAATCATCACCACATTTCTCTAATGTTCAAGTCTTTAGAGGCATTGTTAAGTTTTTCAATGCTCGTTAATTTTTTAGTCGAGGTGATCGCTCAACAAATACATGTTCTAAGCAGGACAATTATAAATTCTCGTGTAAGAAAGTTGTGTTTTCGAAGATATTCACGATAACCAACTTTTAAGTTAGTTGTATATTTATGCACCTATATGGTGTCAGTTGACATGAACAGAAGGAGATTCGAACTTATGTCAAATGACATACGTTCCTCTCATCGATAATGAGACCATATATATACACAAAAATTCCAAGTTGTTATCATAATTTAAATCTCGTATACTTGGTTATTAAACTCTCATATAGAAGAAACACACGATTACAACAAAAGCGTGACTCTACCACGTGTACCATTTATCACTTTTCCGAAAGAGTTCATTGTCAATATAAAACCCGTCGTTCCTCACTATCCACAAGCACGTGCCGGAAGTGCACTTCCTCTTCGCGAAATCCGAATTGAAAACCTCAAACCTCTTACTCTTCCCCATCCACCAGAAATGGCAGTAGTATATCGATTTTCCGATAAAGTTCTCGCAGAATTTCCACTGGTATATTTTTTGTCCTTGGTGCCTGTCGATTGAACGTCTGCCGAGATCTTCTTTGCCGGAAGCGCACTGCACCGTCAACGGAGTGTAATCGCCGAGTGTTTCGTCGGAGTATATTCTGACGGTATATTCGTCCGTGAAGAAACAATAAGCCATTCCTTGGATGAGGTTAGCTGATAGGAAGAGGATTGATAAGTAGGTTTTAGTCATGTTTGAAGCCATATTTTTATTTTTTGGATTTATTTATTTATTTATATTTTGCTTCAAAATATATAGTGGGGAAAAAAAAAATTTGGCGCTTAATATTTTGAGTGCATTTAGTGTTTTATTAGGTTACATTAAAGAAATTATACTTTGAAACTGAAGCAGCATTGAATTATTTAATTAAATTGAAGTAGCATTGA